AAAAAAAAAAAAAAAAAAAAAAAAAAAAAAAAAAAAAAAAAAAAACTAATACAATAGTACAAGTAATGAGGAAAGAATCAAAGACTCTGAGTCATCCTATATCAGCATTAGAGTTTTATACTTAGTTTTTATTTTTACGTAAAAAGTATGGCAAAAATGGCTTTGCATGTGAACTGGCTACCATCAAAAAAATTAATACTGAGATTAACTGTGGTCACTAGTGAATACAAGATATGTATAACATTTATCTCAATGCCTTAGAGGAGATAAGATTAAAGACGGATAGTTTATTTAGCCAAGACTATGGCTCAGTCTTTACCTACCTACTCAATCCTTATCAATGCTCCCACAAACATCCCTTTTTACTATTCCCAGCCCCCTCCAAAAGGGATGTCTCAGTTCTTAGTGAGATTCCTCTCATCCTCTGTGATGACAGTCATTAGGGCCACAGTTTTAAAACTGTGTTCTGAAGTACCCAGGACACAATGGCAAACTCACAGGCACTGAGGGATAGTTCAAATTTTTGAGGGAAACACATCAACATCTGTTGAGCAGTGTAGGAGCTACAGCTCCAGGTACTGCGTTATGACTGCTATATTCCTTTTATTAATGCCCTAGTTCGGTGAAGCTAGGTTTTTGGCAATTGACGTGATAAGAGATAGCGTGAGGAAATCAATGTGCAAGAGGAATGAGAGCATAAACTATGCAGTGCCCAATACCTATTACGTTGTTAGGACACAAACAACTTGTTTGAACCTAACTTCTTCATAAATGGGTGGGTATTCTTTGCCTACAGGTGCTGTATAAAAATTATGAAGATACTCATGGATTTCATGAGCCAAGAAAATCTGTGAAGCTCTGAATTAGGATAAATGATCACTTACTCCACCTTGTACAAACATTGTTACCCAATCCCTGTAACATTTTTTTGCCCATTTCATGATGATTCCTTTGCAATTGGTGCTGCATAAAGCCATTATTGACCTCTAGATTCAACCAGTATTTGCAATATTCAAAGTCTTACACTAGAAGGCTAAATAAGCATCTGTCTCACAATTTACATATTAAGTCTCCATAACTAATATAAAAGATTCAAGGAAGGTACTGTTTAACAAAAGAGGAAAAGGTCATCTTTTCTTCTAAGTATTTATAAAGCTATTCATTGACAGATGTATTAGTCTGTTTCTGTTACTTATAACAAAATATATGGAACTGGGTATCTTATAAAGAAAACAAAATGTATTGCTTACAGTTTCTGAGGCTGGGAAATCCACAGTCCAAGGAACACATCTGGTGGTGGCGGCAGTGACCCTTCACATTGCAAGATGGTGGAAGGAGAGCAGAGAGACCAACCTCCTCATTCGCTCTCCTTTTAAAGGCCCCAGAAGCACACACCTGATTGCCATTATTAGTCCATTCACTACTGCACGGTCCTACAATCCAATCACCCCTTCAAAGCTCCACCTTTCAATTACCATAATAGGATTTCCCACCCTCTTAACGGTCACAGTGGGAGACAAGTTTCTAATACATAAAATGTGGGGGACATAATTCAAGCTTCAGTGAATTTTGGGAGACATAATTCAATCTACTACAACACATATTTAACAAGTATCTATTCTGTGCTAGCAACTATGGGGAATAGAAAAATGACACTGTCTCTGACTGTCAGGAACTTATAACGTAAGCCAAGGAAGACATAAAGAGACAGCACTTTCTAGTTCTCTTTCTTTTCTCCCACAGTGCTGCGGGAATGTTTGCAGATAATGCAATAAAAATTTAAGTTAAGCAGAAAGGAGAAACAGTGCTATAATAGGTTAGTCAAAGGGAGCTATGGAATTTCAAATGTTGACATCTTTAATAGGACTTTAATTAGCTAAACTAGTACAACTTCATTTAAGTACCCATCTATTCAATAATTTGCTCTAAGTGAAAATATTATTAAGAGGTGGAAAAAAACCGTAGATTAGAACCCACATTCCTTTTTGATGTTCAAAAGTTGTAGATGGACCAACTAACCAGGAAATAAGCCCCTGGGTTTAAAATCAGTTATTTCAAAAACTGGCAAATAGGTTAGAGCACGTTGTTATAACACCAAGGTCAAAGGGTTTGGATCCCCATACCAGCCAGCCACCAAAAACAAGACGACAACAACAACAACAGCAAAAAACCCCACCGAAAACTGGCAAAATTATAAACACAAAATCCATTTGCCTCAATTAAAAGAATTAATTAAAAATGACAGCTGAGCTTTGACTTCAGAAAGATGGAGCAGATATACTTTTTACTATTCCTTCTGCTAAGTAGAACTCAAACCCTTGGGCATTATATATAAACAAACACAAGAAAGTATAGAAAAGTACAGAAAAAGGGACAGATCTGAAAAGTATAGAGAAGGCAGCAGACCAGCTAGAGAACTCAGACATGGTGTGAGTTCCCTGGGTTTTCTTTTTCTTTTACATATCCATTATATATCCTTTTTCTTTTTATATATGCCATTATTAACATCTAGATTCAACCAGACTTGGGGCTGAAGAAGCAGGCAACCTGGAAACACCAATAAGGGCAAATGAAAAAGCCCTAGTAGAAGCTTCCTCTTTCCAGGCAAAGAACCAAGAAAGGAGCAGCCTAGCAAGACAGATCTTTTAGACAGTAACACTCCATTCTAATGAAGCACCACAGAAGAGCTGTGGCCCTGGCCTCACTCAGGCTAGCAAAAGCTGAGTGGGGAACCTAGACTTCCACCTTTGTGTGCCTGTAATGAGGAACCTCAAACTCCCACTAGGATGGGATCAGAGGCCAAGTAAGAGGCTAGAACTTTCATCCCCACCAACCAGTAACAAGATGCTCCCACCCCCACCAGTCAGCGGAGAACATAGAAGGAAGCTGGACTGAATACCCAGCAGTACTGAGGCCTTGGGGTGGTATCAGAGGAGGACTAGTAGAGGTCAAGATGAGGCCACCCCAAGTGAAGAACTTCCATCATAGCTCAACAGTGCTGAGAAAACCCCTGCCCCTATTCAGGTGGCAACAGAGGGGGTCTGGGGAACCTGGACCTCTACTTCCACCCAGTGGTGGTGATGCCCACCCCTGCTTTCCCTGCCAGAACACTCTTAGAAAAAGTCAGCTAAACAGAGGTTTAAATAAGATCTAGTCTCATGCCACAGTATGAAAATGTCCAGGTTTCAATGGAAAATCACTCATAGCAAGAACCACGAAGATCTCAAACTAAATGGAAGAAAGATAATCAATCAATAAATGCCAAGACCAAGATGACAGAGATGTTAGAGTTTCTCACAAATTTTAAAGCCTATTAAATGCTTCAGTAAGCAATTACAAGCATGCTTCAAACAAACGAAAAAGCCTCAGAAACAAATAAAAGACCTCACAGAAATCCATGCCAACATATATTATAATTAAACTTCTGAAAATTAAAGACAAACAAAAAATGGAAAGGAGTGAGAGAAAATCAATACTTGTCTATAAGGAAAAACAATTCTAATGAAAATGGGTTTCTCTTTCAAAATCAAGGACACCAGAAGGCAGTGGCACAATATTTTTCAAGTGCTGGAAGAAAAGAATTGTCAAACCAGAATCCTATATGCAACAAAAATACTCTGCAGAAATGAAGAAGAAATCAAAATATTCTTAGATGAAGGAAAACTAAGAGAATTTTGTTTCAGGAGACCAACTCTAAAATAATGGCTAAAATAATTTCTCTGAACAGAAAAGAAACAATGTAAGAAGAAACCTTGAAATATCAGGAAGGAGGAAAGAAAACAGTAAGCAAAACTATGGGTAAATACAACAGGCTTTCTTTCCCTTCTTGAGTTTTCCAAATTGTTTCACAGCTGAAGCGAAAATTATAATACTGTCTGATGTAGTTCTAAATAAAGAGGAAAGATGAGGTGTAGTGGATCGAATTATGTCCCCCCAAAACTCACTGAAGCTTGAATTGTGTCCCTCAAGTTTTAAGTATTGGAAATTTAGCCCCCACTGTGACTGTTAAAAAGGGTGGAAATCCTATTATGATCACTGAAAAGAGGAGCCTTGAAGAGGTGTTTAGATTATAGGATCATGCCTTGAGGAATGGATTAAAAATGGTGGTCAGGGGCGTGGTTCTGACGGCTTTAAAAGAAGAGTGAATGGGGTGGAAATCCTATTATGATCACTGAAAAGAGGAGCCTTGAAGAGGTGTTTAGATTATAGGATCATGCCTTGGGGAATGGATTAAAAATGGTGGTCAGGGGCGTGGTTCTGACGGCTTTAAAAGAAGAGTGAATGAGTTCTCTCTCTCTCTGCTTCCACAGTCTCACAATGTGAGACCTGTGGGTCACTGTCGTTATCAGCAGATAGACTTTAGACTTCCCAGCCTCAGAATCTGTAAGCAACAAATTTTGTTTTTCTTTATAAATGACCCAGTTCCAGGTATTTTGTTATAAGCAACAGAAACGGACTAATACATGAGGGTACTTCAAAAAGTTCATGGAAAGGTTCGTATTATCTTTTAATTCTATTTTTCCACGAACTTCTGAAGTACCCTTGGTATTTGAGATAATTATAAATGAGAAAGGTAGAGGGATATAGTGGTAAGATTTCTTTTTTTTTTTTTCCTTTTTGTCTTTTTTTCGTGACCGGCAACGGATCGCAACCCTCAGTGTCGCGCCCGTACCGGACCGGGACCGGCAACGGGATCGCAACCCTCGGTGTTGCACCCGCACCTTCTATAGTTCACTCAAACTTGTAAAATGACACCACCAGTAAACCATTAAGAGCTCATACATATATTTAATACCTAGAATAATCACTTAAAAAGCTACATAAAGAAACACTACAGACAAATCAAAATGGAATTCTAAATAATGTTCAAGTAACCCATAAAAAGGCCAGAAAATGAACACAGAAATATCAAAAAAAAAAAAAAGGAAAACTTAAGACTTAATGCATGTGCTTTGGTTTCTTTTATTAGTGCTTTGTAGTTTTCAGCATTATGTACACGATTTGTTAGATTTTATACCTAAGTATTTCTTTTTTTGTAGTTATTGTCAGTGATATTCTATTTTTAATTTCAGTGTGCATATATATGTTCATTGCTAGTATATAGAATACAATGGACTTCAAAGGAATTATTTATGTTCATAGCAGCATTATTCACAATAGCCAAAAGGGAGAATCAACTCAAGTGTACATAAAAGAACTGATAAACAAAACATGGTATATACAAGGGCTGGCCCGTGGCTCACTTGGGAGAGCGTGGTGCTCACAACACCAAGTCAAGGGTTAAGATCCCCTTACTGGTCATCTTTTATTTAAAAAAAAAAAAAAGAAGAAATGAAAATTTCAGGAAAAGGGCAGAGGAAATACAAGATGAGCCTAAATGAGAAAGTGCTCAGAGAATGATGAGTACATGTCAAAGAGACACAGGATCCAGTTCCGAGGGTGCCCCACTCCTCAAATCTTGGACAATTTAAGCATCAAAATAATAATAGTAACAGATTATAACTCACTGTATAAAATAAGAATCCACAATTCTATACTGATGCAACTAAAGGAAAGGAAGACAAAACTTTTCCTCACAATAGAATACCAATTAATACAGAAGCAATGATAGTATTAGAAAATCATTTTGCAACTGGCATAGGAATAATTGACTCAGACAAGAATCACTGGCTGCTAAAAGTAGATGAAATATATTTGCATAGTCTCAAAGTATCTCCCCACAAATTATTACAAAGGGTAAAACTAACTTTAAAGTGGAAAGACCTGGCAGATACCTCCTTCAAATGATCCAATATGTCACCAGTAATAGGACAAACAGACATTCTGTGCCTTCTTATATGATATGCTGAGAGAACAAAACATCTTGCCAGTGGGATTCTTGCCCAAAATGCACAATCTTAATCTAATCATGAGGATACATGTGATAAGCCCAAACTGAGGGACATTCTACAAAATAACTGGCCTGTAGTCTTCAAAAATGCTGGGCCAAAAGAGACAAAAGCAGAGGAAATGTTCACATTAAAAGAGACTAAAGAAACATGACAACTAAATGCAATGTATGATTCTATTCTGGATTCTGAAGTGGAGGTGGTGGGGAGTGGTGGGGGGAAGGGAGCTACAAATGACATTATCGGAATAACTGGCAAAATTTTATTAAGGTCTGTGGATTAGACAACAGTACTGTATCAATGTAAACTTTACAATTTCTTTTTTTTTTTTTTTTGACCGGTAAGGGGATCACGACCCTCGGCACGGTGTTGTCAGCACCATGCTCAGCCAGTGAGGCATACGGGATCCAAACCTGCGGCCTCGGCGCTATCAGCACTACACTCTCCCGAGTGAGCCACGGGGCCAGCCCAAAACTTTACAACTTCTGATAACTGTACTGTGTTTATGTAAAAGAATGTCCTAGCACTTAGGAAATACACTGTGAAGTACTGAAGGGTAAAATTTACTCTTAGATGGTTCAAGAAAAAAAGGCATACAGAGAGAGTAAATGATAAAACAAAAAGGGCAAAATATTAACAATTGGTAAAACTAAGTATAAAATATATGGAAGTTCCTTATAACATTCCTGAACCTTGTTTGCTAGTTTGAAATTATATCAATATATAAAGTTACAAAAACAGCCAAAAATATTTGTTGAATGTTGAGTGGAAAAAATCCCAACCAAGGTGTATTTAGTACAACTTAGGTTTTATTACAGCTCTGATGAGTAAAACTGATGAGTAAAACTTATTGAAATTTATAGTCTTCATCTTTAAGGTTGATAACTTTTTCATTTATGAAAATCAACAATATTTACCTTTTCCTCTCTTCCTTTGTTCTGTTCTTTCTTTTCACGACAACGAACAGCTTTTCCTCTGTCATTGTGAAGATTTTGTGCAGATGGACGGTGAACTCTGCCAGCTGTACTTGGACGGTTACCATGTGGTTTAGGGTCACTGTACTGAGGAGACTGGCGTTTTCTAGGTCCTGGGGAGGGCCTAATCAAACACAAGATCATTAAAATCATAATCAACTACTGGAGTTGGTCCAAATATGGATGAACACAAATAGTACCTAAGACAGAGTCTACAAACTAACTGATTTAAGGTAATAACTGTACACAAGACAGGACTGACTAAACTTCAGGATGTTGAAACCTCAGATATAAAATTTAAATCTGACATAGCTGTCCGTGGTGATTTAATGAGAGGGATGCAGTCTAGTTATATTATAAAAATAATGGAGGGAGCATAATGGTCACTTCTACTTAGAAGGGAAATTGTTGTTGTATATTAAAGATGAGTAAAAAATTAGTTTGATTGCTGGAAACTGAAAAGAGAGCATTTATTAGAGAAGAGAGTTTCATCAAAAGAACCAGAATAGAGTGCAAGTGTTAAATTCACATTTATCCACTGGTATATATACAATTTGGTACCATTTTATTTAGAATCTATCATAATTCTGTTTTAATTAACAAAATTTAACCATTTTTCCATTTTAAAAAACTGACATAAGCACTAGCTATGTACAATTATAAGAACTCACGGATCGGCTTTATGTGTACACACATCACCTCATCTCATCTTTATTTCTGTGGCAGAATTTAGGCCTCTCAAATATTTATTAGGCTCTTCCTATGCTCCTAGACTTGGTTAGGGACATTAAAAAGGAGCAAAAAAGAAAAAAGAAAAAAAAAAAAAGAAAAAAAAGGAAATGGGGGTCCTATCTGCAAATATCTCAGGGCACAGTTAAACAAAAAGAAGATATGTAAAACTAGGCAGGTATACTAGAAGATGTGAAACAGACCTAGTTTCCTAAAGTTACCTAACTTCACTAGTGCAATGGCAATGGGATGGCCTCATGGAGAAAATAAACTGGGCCTGGAAACACCGGAGTTGAACTAATCAAGAAGGTGCAACTATAAACAAGAAAATTAATGAAAAAAAGCAAAGAAAAATGAGCTTAATCTGCATAAAGGATTATAAAGACACTAGCTTGACAGATAATGGTGAGCATTAAGAAATAATATTAACAGATCAAATGGTTCAGTAATTAGAAGATTTGAATATCAGTTCAAGAAGCTTGGCTTTTAGCTAACTGCCAACAAGGATCCATTGAAAAGGTTTAAGAAAGATCAGTCTAATACGGAACAAGATACACTGTTAAAGAAAACACAGAAAGCAGCAAGAAAGAAGTTTGTAGGTTACAAACGTTATCAAGATATAAGATGAGGGCCTAGCTTAAGACAGTAACAATGAGAAAAGTCCAAGAGCCACTCTATTAAAATAGACACTCCTAGACATGGAAAGTTGAGAATCAGAGTTTGGGAGGATGATAAAGCCAAACCAAAGTGTATGTGAAAACATATGATGGGGGTTCAATTTTTGGATTTTGAAACTTGGATAGCCAGTGGGGAAAATGCCAGAGAAAACCCTAAAAAGATAAAATGAGAAGATTTTATCTTTTATTTTTCTGTTAATCAAAAAGTCCATTTTGGTTGGCCGAGCCCATGGCACACTCGGGAGAGTGCGGTGCTGGGAGCGCAGCGGTGCTCCCGCCGCGGGTTCGGATCCTATATAGGGATGACCGGTGCGTTCACAGCGCTCACTGGCTGACCGCGGTGCGGACGACACCAAGCCAAGGGTTGCGATCCCCTTACTGGTCATGGAAAAAAAAAAGCCCATTTTTGAATTTTAGCAGCAGTACACCTTAACGAATAGCAGTATTCTGTGATAGCTTGAGCACCACTGTTAGTCTAACTACCTCACTTTACATAAGAAAAATCTGAGGTCTAGAAAGGTTATATTATTTTCTCAAAGCTACAGATAGTGGCAAAGATAGAAACATAGCCCAGATATTTCAATTCCCAGCCCCATTCTCCTTCCATAAGATAACTCTGTCTCCACTACTTTAAGCTCATTCACGAAAGCAGATTTTTGACTTATTTCCACTAAATTTTATTTATTGAAATAGGTCACAGAGTCACATGATACACAATTCAAGAGTTATAAAAGGACATTCAGTAAACAACTCCCCCTCATTGCTGTCTTTCAGCCACCCAGTCCTCTTTCTAGATATAACCAATGCTATCAGCTTCTTGGGCTAATTGGTTTCCTAAAAGATCTCTACTCAGAACCACTTACCTTCGTTCAACAGGTACAGGCAAGGACCAGACTTCTCCCTCAGAAGCTGGAAGCTCATGCTGTGCAGCTTTCAAGGGAGTGCTGTCTAGTTTAAAGCTCTCTAGTGTTTTCATGATATCCTTAACATGTTTAGCTTCCACATTTATTTCCTGCCAAACCTGGTTTCAAAGAAGAATATATATAGGTTCACAGAGGCAAGAAGAAAAAAAAAAAAAAAAGAACATGGTTATTATTTAAATTTTTATAACTAATAAATCACTACCAAGATTAAACTAGGGCCATTTATTAATAATGTTAGAAACCTCCATTATGACATCAGATATCCAGTAAACCATACCAAGATATTCTGTCAAAATTTTAATAATGGTTCATTAATTCTTTGTTTTCAATTGCAAAATTAACTCATATAAAATGAATTAAATATCATGGCTAATTAAAACCATATCTGACTTATAGTTCTTATTCAAATTGCATAACAAATTGAAAAGTTTGTAACTTTAAAGTAACTTAAAACTTTGGCAAGAACAAAACATGTGCAAGTTGTACTTTTGATTTTTAATTAACTTTTAAAATGCTGATCAGAATCCACTAATTTCATCACAACTTAGCTTGAAAAACATGGTTTCATAGGATAAATGTCTCAATTCACATACAATCAAAATATTTTTTAAAAAGCAATCTTGACTTGATTTAAAAAACTATATATAATCTCCTTATGGTTCAGCTGCCAAAAACAAACAAAAAACAATTATAGTTTTGACTCAATTTAAAAACCATGTGGTGATGATTGTACAACATTATGAATGTATTTAATGCCACTGAACTGTACATTTAAAAATGGTTAAGATGGTAGATTTTGTGTTATGTATACCACAATAAAAAAAATTGGGAAAAAAATGTAATATTGAAATGAAGTTAGTAATGTTTTGTTTTAAAACTTAAATAATTTAAGTATCTTTACACAAACTTAAGACTCCTTATGATATAAAATATTTTCCCCTCTGGTAATACAAAGAAAAAGGAAGGAACAGATTTAAGGAAAGGGGTTAAATTCAAAGAGATAGGATATTTCTCTCTCTCAAAGAAATTAAGGACAAATATGGAATAATACAAAAAAAGCTTAGTTCAGTAGAACCTGAGAGATACCTAGAAGATCGGCCCCAAAAGACCATTAATTTCCATAACATTTCTTTCCTCTTGTGACATAGTTGAACTTGTTATACACCTTGCTATAAACAAGAAGAATATGGCTATTTAAATTTCTGTAACTAGTAAATCACTGCCAAGATTAAGCTAGGGCCCTTTATTAGAGATACATATAAATGCTACCTGCAACTGGACCTGGAAGTTGTAGAACTTACAGGTTTCTACTTGTAAGCATCTGTTGGTCCTCCGTGACTAAAGTTCCTCAAATGGGATTCAAATACGATCTGCTTTATAAAGTTCTATAGGGAATACAGTACCAGTGAGATTCAGGTGTCATTTGCAGTTTTGACAATGGCTTAAGAAACTCAACTCTAATTTTACCAGGTAAAAATCTGACCTAGAAAAAAATGTCAAAACCATTAATTACTTTTTAAAAATCTATTTGATTCCAACAATTATAATAATTAAGTAAAACTCATAATACTGCTGATGGTAAAGTGGACTATTACTAATATAATAAATTAAGTTTCAAGTAGCATTCTATACAAATCCATGTCATAAATCATGTATTCTTAATGTGTAACTGCACATAGCATTAACGATCGATCTAGATCTTCTCTTCTGAGTACCTAAGCCCTTAAAACATACAGCAGCTGTGATTCTCACCTGCTGCCATTTCTGCTGGAGGGCTGTATCTTTCACCGAGTACAGATACTTGTTCATTTGATCAAGAACTCCCTGATAATAGACCACTGCAGAGTCATAGTTTCCCAGCAACGCATACTCACGAGCCAATTTTACATTCTCACTAATCATAAGAAGACTCATGCTCAACTGTAAGCTAAAAAAGAAAAAAAAGAAAAGAAACATTTTCATATTATATGTCTCTTAAAAATAAATACCGCTCAAGAGTTTTCTAAAATATACTTTGTAGGGCTCCCTCAAGCAGCTCACAATCACACACACCATGTTTTCCATCTTATACATTTGCCCATGCTATTTCCACTCTTTCAAAGAAACATCTTAGTCCCCACATCCAAACCCTCCCGATGTGCCAAAGCCCAGCTCAGATGGCAGTTCTCCCAGTATGTCTACCTACTGAACACCTCAGTTCAAAATAAACTCTCCCTCTGCTAAAGTCCTCCCCTGGCATTTTACTGGGACTTTCATCTGCAGGCACTAGTCTACTTTGAAGTATAGTTACCATATATATCTTATTTCTATTAGACAAAGTTTTTTGAGAGCAAGATTTGCATCTGAAAGGGGTGAGACTGTATCCTCAGTGCATGACACACAAGTTTTTTACATCTGCAGAACAAATGTTGATGGGGCTGGCCCGTGGCTCACTCGGGAGAGTGCGGTGCTGATAACACCAAGGCCCCGGGTTCGGATCCCATATAAGGATGGCCGGTTTGCTCACTGGGTGAGCGTGGTGCTGACAACACCAAGTCAAGGGTTAAGATCCCCTTACCGGTCATCTTTTAAAAAAAAAAAAGAACAAATGTTGAATGTTAGATACATTTTTTGTTGGAGGCAGTATGGATTAGCAGAAAGCACATAAATTTTGAAGTAAGACAAATCTTGGTTAGAATTGTAATTGTAAGGCTGACTGGTTTCCTCAGTTGGTTAGAGTGCAGTGTTGTAACATTGTAACTCCAAGTTCAAAGATTCGGTTCCCATAGAGGCCAGCCCCCACCCCCCCAAAAAATAGTAATTCTGCCACCTTGGTCAACTCCCGTTTTTCTAAGCCTCAATTCTTAAATCTGTAAAACTGGGATAGTAGCTACTTCTAGGAGTTGCACCACAGAGAATAAATGACTAAAGTACCTCGTATATTACTTAGCAAAGTCTTCAATATATGCTTAATGCAATCTTCCCTGAAACTTTCTATATATGAGAACCTAGCCCAGTCTTTGCAGTATAGTGGGATATAAATATAGATACAGATGTAAAGTGTTAGAAGCAGGCACTTGATAAATCCAAGCCTTTGAAAAACTGAGAAACAAGGGACGGCCTGTGGCTCACTTGGGAGAGGATGGTGTTGACAACACCAAGGCCACGGGTTCGGATCCCTATATAGGGATGGCTGGTTCGCTCACTTGGGAGAGTGTGGTGCTGACAACACCAAGTCAAGAGTTAAGATCCCCTTACCAGTCATCTTTAAAACAAACAAACAAACAAACAAACAAAAAACTGAGAAACAAGTCTTTGTCAAGACTGATCAGAATAAACAAAATACAAGGTGAAAAAGGAAGTAACTAGACAGATCTGAAATGGAAGAAAAAAATTTCTTTTCCTTTTTCTCTTACCACCTAAAAAACGAAATTTTAGTAAAAGACCTCCCCTTTTAAAAGCTCCAGGCCCAGGGGGGTTTTATAGGTGAGTTTTTACCTAACTTCTAAACAGAAATAATTCCGATCACATAAAAGTTGCCATAGAAAACAAGGAAAAAGCTGACCAACTCTTTTTATGAGTCAGGAACGACCTCAGTTTCAAAACTGAGTAAGAACAATACAAGATCCGTTTCATTAATGAACAAGAAAATCCTAAGTAAAATATCAGCTAACATGCAATGCATCAAAACAAACACACACCCACACACCCACACCCCACGATCAAGTGTGTATCCTCAGAACTCAAGGATGACTTAAGATCAGAAAATCTATCATTGTAATTCCTCACACTAAGGGACAAAAGTATTTCACACAAAAATGGGTAAAGAGCATAAAGGGCAATTCACAAAAGGGAAAACCCAAATGGCTAACACGTGCAGACACTAGTAACAGATTAATACAAACTAAAACAATGAGACCCTCTACATTTACCAGATTCATAAAAAATAAGTCCAATAATGCTAAGTATTGGCAAGGATTTGGGAAAAAGGAAAATTTCACATCTGATTTGTGGGCATAAACTGGCATAGCGAGCAAACTGGCAGTACTTAGGGAAACAATACATACATATACCCTATGACCCAGCAATCCCATTCTTCTGTAAATATTCCAGACAAAGTCTCACACAGATCTATAAGGAGACTTGTTTTGGGATATTTATGACAGAACTGTTTGAGAAATCAAGGAGTTGGAACCTGCTAGGAGAATGTGGCGGATACATACTACGGAATACCATGTAGCAGACAGAAGCAATGAACAAAATTTATAAATAGCAACATGGATAAATCATCAAAATACAGGCTTGGGTGAAAAAAATCTACAACACAAAACAAGATATAAACCCCAATACTATTTTCTGAATTAAAAAATACATATGCTATATAAAACACTCTCTTTTAGCTGCTAACACCAAGGTCCAGGGTTCGATCCCTGTACTGGCCAGCCGCTGAAAAAACAAACAAACAGAAAAACCTCTTCTTTAAAGAAACAAACATATCCAGGAACATATATTAAATACATTAGAGAGTCTATGGAGGGTGAAAAGAAAAATGTGAGTACAGAAACTGGATGAAAGGTAGAGGAGAAACAAAAAGTAAATACAACAAAAGCAGGACCTTATATCCATGATAATCACAGTGAGCCTCTAAGACAGCTCCCAAATGACCTCTGCCTCTTGCTATCCATACCCTTGTGTAATTACCTCCCCTTGAATGTGTGCCTGGAAGAAATATGCAAACATAATGGAATGTCATTTCTGAGATTAGACTGTGACTTCCATCCTGCTTGCTGTCTCTTGCTGACCCACTCAAAAGGAAACCAGCTACCATGTAGTGAGCTGTCACATGCAGAGGCTCACATGGCAAGGAACTAAGGGAGGCTCCAGGCAAACAATCAGTGCAAAACTAAGGCCCTCAGTCCAATAGCCTTCAAGGAACTGAATCCTCCTTCAGTTGAGCCTTGAGATGATTACAGCTCTTTCTGATATCCTGATTACAGCTTTGGGAAAGATTCTGAATCAGAGACACCCAGTTTAGCCATGCCCAGATTCCAGACCCCAAGAAACTGTGAGATGTGTCTGTTATTTTAAACCACGAAGTTTTAGGGTCATTTGTTATAAAGCAATACAGCTATAAACTGAGGTCTATGAGTAACTCAAGACTGGGCATCTGAGGTCCAAAAGAAAAGGAAGAAAATCTCATGACCTAAACAGTGAATGCCTGGAATCATGACCACTGATAACATTCCATCTTAATAAAATCTCCATTGCCAGGGACCATGTCTCTCTGCTATTTACTGATAAACCCCTAGTATTGAGAACCGTGCTTGGCACACAGCAGATGTCAATAAATCTTTGAATGAATGAATACTGCCAGGTTTTTATATAAACTACCAAAATTTCTTAACTTTGTCCAGTTCCTGACCCGTAGCACTCTCACATTCCTTGATTCTCAGCTCATCTCAAGCAAGCTGGAATTACAACTTGATTCCTGTGTGATTACGTTTGCCCTGCAGCCATCCACACCCTATAGTGACACCTAGTCTGGGCAAGTGTTAGAAAAGCATAACTGGAGCCAGCTGCTGGAAGTATACAGTTGATCTGGATGACTTCTTTTCCCTCTCTCCCTCTTTTCCTTAGTAGACTCCCGCCAGATCTTTCTTCCCTTTCTCCCATTAAAAAAAATTCTAAATTAGGGCCGGCCCAGTGGCGCACTGCTACAGTGCGCCGCTTGAGAGCGCAGTGGTGCTCCCGCCGAGGGTTTGGATCCCACATACAGACCGGTTCACGCCCACTGGCTGAGCGAGGTGCGGGGGCAACACCGAGGGTTGCGATCCCGTTGCCGGTCCCGGTCCGGGCGTGACACTGAGGGTTGCGATCCGTTGCCGGACACAAAAAAAGACAAAAAGGAAAAAAAAAAATTCTAAATTAAATTGTTATTTATATTTAAGTGGGCCTCTTTATTTATTTATTTTTTTTGAGGGCCATGGCTTAACGTCCCAAAACTCACATAAATCACCCCAGCCCTCCTTTATTTTTTAATTTTTTTAAAAAAGATGACCGGTAAGGGGGCCGGCCCAGTGGCGCACTGCTACAGTGCGCCGCTTGGGAGCGTGAATAGGGCTCCTGCCGAGGGTTCGGATCCCACATACAGACTGGTTCCCGCTCACTGGCTGAGTGAGGTGCGGGCGCGACACCGAGGGTTGCGATCCCGTTGCCGGTCCTGGTCTGGTACGGGCGCGACACTAAGGGTTGCGATCCGTTGCCGGACACGAAAAAAGACAAAAAGGAAAAAAAAAAAAAAAAAAGAAAAAAAAAAAAAAAGATGACCGGTAAGGGGATCTTAAC